GCGTCTGACGCCGCGCGCCACGCCAGCAGGCCTGCAGCGTTTTGAGGTTTTGTGTCAGCGGCCTCATTAAAAAGCGCTCTCGGCATGATCCATCCAAAGAGGAGCCCTTTGTCTTCGCCCTCGTGCCGGCTCTGCTCATCACAACGCGCTCGATCATCTCCAGGGCGAGGATTCATGGAGGATACCTGCGCTTCGCGGCAGACCGGGGGCCTCTGCTAGACAAACGTGCACCCTTCGGCACGAAGTAAGTCCAACCGACGGACGGTGGTCTCCCAGCGTCCCACGGAGGCGGCCACCCATTCGCCCCTACCCTTTAAGTCAGCGATTCCCCCTTAACTTTCCTGTTTCTAGAAAGCTGGAAAAGTTACACCGGGTAAAATGGGCAACTCTCTAGTTTAAAGACTCAGAGCCTCCTTCCTGATTGAGGACGGGGGCTCAGAGGGCAGTGCGGTCCAGTGACGGTGGCATCGGCCTGGGGAAAAGGAAATTTAGGCTTTATTTGCTGCATTGGCCGGCATCTTGAGCAGCTTAGTTGGCCTCGCTGCATCTAGCTTCATTCCCATCCCTCCACCAGCTCGGCTTTTTACAGCGCGAACCTGAACTGGAGACGCTTTTACTGTTTGCATGGCACCTGCGACAATTCACCATAACCAATGTTCATTAATTCATCGTAAAACTTCTGTGTTAAAACACACGTTTAACCGCTTTATGCGGTCAGATCACTAAATTTAATATTCCCACATAACTTAGCATGTCCCTGGTTTAAAATACGTGGATGTCGCTTTGGGTTACTTTTTAATTCTGATACGTACAGGGCTGCCAAGGATGAAAGTTTTAATGTGATCATTTAAAGCTAACATTGTGCCACATCCCATTACCAAAATCAAGGCAGAACATTCAGTGACCTCAGTTCAACCCGAATTTGTACCTTTATGGGCATTAATTATTCCACAGTTGGGATTTAAGGAAGACATTCTGAAGGAATCAAAGGGAGTTAAGCATCCAGCTTCTCATTTCTGTTCATGAGATTTGAGCTCCTCATTTCTCCAAGCTCCTTTGCAAACATCAGTCTAACTTTATGTCAGTTCCAGCTCAAGACCGTTACGGAGACCGTCGCAGAGAACAGGTATGCTAATAAATTTATAAACCTTGCCCTTCTTCCCTGTAGTACTAATTCATCAGTTTTTAGCCCAATAAGATGCTAGTAAAGCAGAACTGGAATTATACACTGTTTACAGATGTCTTTTTCCACCGAGTAGGAAGTGAAAATAAATACCAAGCAACCAGTCCCACTCTTCACACAGGTATGGGAAGGTACACACAAAGAATGGAAAGATAGTAAATCATCTCATATACACTTAGCATTATACAACAACTCTGTATCCGCCAGCAAGGTCTAGCTGGTTTCTCAAAACCGCACTTAGCCTTACTCTTCCTGTCTCAAAGCAATATTATCATTTGAAAATACCACAAACTTAAAATATCTTACCATGTTTAGGAGAGAATAATGGTGATTTTGATCTCGGTGGATTTTCTGGCCGAGGGGCTACTAACTGCACGGGCCGCACATGTTTATCCAACAGCTTCTTGAAGCAAGACTGACGATTCTCAAACATGCTTCGAACATTTTCAAGCTTGACCTGCACTGACTGTATCTGGCACTGTGGAGGGTGAAAAAGACTCCCGTGATCAAATAACTACCATTATTTTGCACTTTGACCCAGAATAGAGGACTATAAAGCTGACAACACCACAACACAGTCCGATCCTGCTTTTTACTTGTGTAATGAGGAGCTGGAGGGGTTGCTTACCTTCAGTTCAGATGTTAAGACCGACTCAAAATCGCAGTGTAGGGCTTGGGGATCATAGTTTAAGTAGGCTGAAGAGCTTTCAAGAAATCTTTCTATGTCCTGGAGAGCTTTCTGAGCGCCTTCTTTAGACTGGCACTTATCCATCGGCTGGTTGGCGAGCAGGTAGGCACCTTCATCACAGCACTGCAGAGCCTGGTAACAGCAAGGGGCAAACACAGGGAGCGAGACCGTCAGCGGCACCCCTACTGAATCAAGCTTCCCATGAGGAATATCATTTACTGGATCTGTATTTTCAGCACACAGCTAATTAGTACTCCTACAGACCTCAGCAGCTATTGCACTTTGGAAAGCAGAATTGCCGCATTTTCTCTGCAGTCTTCAACACACCCAGCCCAGTTCCGCTCCCACTCGTACCGGGATAAAACCAGTGGTATATCTGACACAGAAGTACTGTTTGGTGCATAGTTGAACCAAATGATAAGCAGATCTTTCTTTATCCAACTCAGAAGGCTGACGGGGGCACTACAGAGACGACAGGCGGGTTTCTTGAGCTACATGACTGGCTCAGTGCAGACGTGAGCTGCAAGGAATGATCAAAGTAATTGCAGCCATGTTTTTTAAAAAATAAGAATTTAAAATTGCAGTTTAAAGCTCTACATTTAACATGCACAGGTAATACGTGAACGCCAGGCTGGGGTTCGGCTGGCACTGACACGCCGTGGTGTGCACAGGCGTGAGGAGATGCTGCAGCCAAGAGCGAGGGACGACTTCCAGTGTTGTGAGCGGGAAGGAAAGCCGTGGAGAGCAGGACTACGATGTGCTCCAGCAGAGCCCACGGGCTAGACCACCAACACCAACCAGGACTGCAAGGAGCCCAGGAGAGGACACTGCCCTGCAGCTGAGAGGCTGCCAAGCAATCGTCCATCCACGCAGGTTAACGCAGTATTGGAGTGGAGCACACAGATTAAAAAAACCCAAGTGCCCTAGTCCCCTGAAACAGTGAAATGGAACAGGGTCAAACTTCACTGCTTCTCTTAATGGCCTCAAGCATATTACAGACGTGTGCCTTCTGGCCTAATTAGCGTGAATTTCCCTAAATGAATTTTTGATGCTGATTAAGATATCAAAGAGCATTGGAGCCACATGACTCCACTTCCATGCTAGCACACAGCAGCTGCGCCTATCTACCAATCTGTCACCTTATTTTACAGTCAGCTATGTTCATTCTTAATAAATCGCGAAGGAAAAAGGGCTGGAGTTTATCTGAAAGCATTACCTCTCTTGCACTGGGTATGAAAACCTCGAAAGTCAATTAATAGATGGAAGCAGCATGAAAGCATGGCCAACAGCAGCAGTGGAACTCTGGTGTTCTGAATCGCCCTCTGGAGATGCCCACCTCTTTCTGCTGACTATTCACAGCACCAGCAGGTAGCTGTGTGCTCACTTAACCAGCTAAGTGAGGGGTGAAGCACTCCTCCATCCTCCAGCGAACACCTTCCTACCATGAACTGCTGAAACAAAGCTGCAAATTTCAGATGCTTCCAGCTAAGAAGTGGAGAGGCTAACCCCATGGAGAAGCTACCACTTCTCAGGCCACTGTGTCTCTGAAGTCTACCTGCTGAAGGCGGGTAGGAAGATCCAAGGTCTTCTGCAGTCGCATCTGCTTCCTTTTGATCTCATCAGACAAGACATCAGAATGGTGCCGCAGCTCATTGCATTGCTGGCAGATTAAGTTGAGAGCGTAGTGATGATTTGCTGCTAGCTGGTGTCCGTGTAGTATCACCACCTGAGCCTTCCCTATCAGATCCTTCAGCGAAAGGAAGAGAAGGGATTGCACACTGATGGAAATAATGCCAAAATATCTACACATAACAACATGCAGTGCCTCATCTTACCAGATTTCAGGTACACATGGAGATGACTGCCATTAGAAGTAGCCAGAATGGATGGCTTACGCAGGATAAAATGGCACCCATCATCTGGGAAAAAAAAACTTTTGCTACCCAAAAAGAGGATGAAGAAGAAAACAGTATTTCACCAAACTAGCAATGCTGTGAATGGCTGCTGGCAATGTATTGCTGCCGCCTCCAGGAACTGCACTCTAAAAAAATGCAGCTGATGTCCAGTGTAGGCACACTATGCTCATAAGCACGAAAGGGATTTGAGCAGTTAAAAGTTTACGGTGAAAACAAATCAGGCCTTTTGCAGCAAACCTTGATGCAAAGAACATGCTATCTTGCCTGCACATCTTGGTCAGTGTAATGCGTAGGTCTTCTCCAGGGCTGGCTTTCCGCTGGGACTGCTTCCCTGTTGCACCCTGTCTGCCTGGCCCATTCCTCCCTCTCTCCACAAACATTTCTTCCAACTGGCCAAAAATCCTTAGACCTTTCTCCTAGGACTCTTATTTTCAAAGAAGCCTCTGGGGGTTGTGTCCAGATCCTTCAGAATTCCTCCACTGACCCTGGCCCACTTGCCAAGCACACCCCTTTACTGAAGTCACAACCTCAGTTAGGCTCCCGTGAATCATCTGTCTTCACTCTTCTTTTCCCTACATCTCTTAGTCTTCATCCATATGTTGTGTTCAAATCACAGACACGTCAAGATAGTGACTTTTTTGCCTCTCCATGTGCCTGATAACAAGTCTCTGCCTATTAGCACTGCTAAAGCACTCAACATATAAATAATTCTTCTTCCAGCTCATTAACTCCCACGCCCCCACTCTGTTCAGACATTTATCTGTTCTGGATTTTCATGGTGGCTCAGCAATTTATTTTAACCATGATAATTAAATACCCTGTTCCTGTCTTTCAGAGCGATCACAGCCTTGCTGCGAGAGCAAAGACATGAAATCAATCCTTTTGTGCAGCCACTTACCAACGAATTACACCAGAACCAGGTAATTTCAGAAAACATCTCCTACCACAAATCCAGAAGGTGCCTCTTGTGTTTCATTAGTGCCTCTTTCTGTGAAAGATTATCTCACCTGAGCCATACCATCAAAATGACCCAAGTCCTTGAGCCTCTGCTTTACTTGGGGGACGCTGTTGCCAGTGTTGGGCAGCTCCGCTTGCTGACCCATTAAAAATTCAATGGCATTCTTGACCTAGACACAAAGAAGAAGACTGCTGCAAAAGGATACAAAGCACAGGCAGAAAATCATTCTCAGATCAAAATTAATCACACTTTAACTAAGATTACTAAATCCAATAATAAAACTAGTGTCCAAGAACTAATTTCTGAATTCAAAGATGCTTCTATCGGCAAAATCTATGCGACTGCAGGGCAGTGATACCTAAATTAGCTCTGAATGAGGAAGTACAGTGGTCTCCCCAAGCTAGCTATCCCTGCCAGAGTCAAGGAACAGCAGCATAAATTAAACACTCTCAAAATAAAAACGTCTCTCCTCTCCCCTCCTTTTCATTTCCAACTCTTCCTTCTACATCTGATCATACCTCTTGAAAACTTTGCTCAAACTTCCACAGTTGTAAATATTGCTCCATTTTTAACTGATGTTTTTCCCAGAAGCCATCAAAAGCAGTCTCCATCTCATGCAGCTGACCAAGCAACCTTGAGCACAAAAAAAGGACAGGATTGGAACAACTTGCAAATAAAGGACAAGCAGAGATGGACAAGCCCTAGAGATCACCTGTTCAGGTCTTCTGGCCCCAAGCTCTCAGGAGAAGTCAACAGACGTGTATATACGACTTGTGAAGAAGATCTCAGAAAGAATTTTAATGAAATCATCACTGCACATGACAGCACCTGTGTGAAGCAGTGGTCGCTATCTCCATTTATCGGAATAATACCTGGGAGCCTGGCATGGCAGAACCCTGCATCTGCTCCACAGCCTCATCGTATCAGTGGTGGAAAAGATCAAAGCAGGTCAAAGTCGTTTGACAGAAGTCACCCAGCAAGTTGATGGGTCTAGAGCAAAATTCTGGTATCTTTGTCTTTACCTGTTTGATAAGTGACCTAAACAACACATCTACACTTAAATAACTTGAGTGTTTCCACTCAAAAAATCAGGCAAATTAGGAACATAGCGCACTCACCGATTCACGGTCTCCCAGTCCCCAGGCCTCTCGCGGTGTTGGTCCTGATGGCATTCCCCAGAGTCAGGCTCTTCAAAACTGCTCAAAAGCAAGTTTCCCTCTTTTGTGACTGCTGTAATATCCTCCTGTATAATGCAAAACATTTCTGATTCAGTCTGCTTTTTGTGAGGTAAGGGTAAGTCATTCGGTGTTTCTCCTGCCTTAGCTTCCCTGTATGAAAGGAAGCACCAATATCCATCAGACCAAAGGACTCCCGGCAGATATTTTAGCCACCTTAATGTGGGGTTAGCCCCTGGAGCTGGGGGAGGCTGAACCACGGACTGGTCGCCAGGCTGGGTGGAAACAAGCATGCATGAAAACCTCGGGCCACAAAATGATTCAAGAGGCAGGAGGACAAGCACTACCACTGGTCCCTCCTGGTGAGCAGGGGGGCTTGTATCAGATACCTGTCTACAAGTTCACGTAGTTCATGTTTAAGTATTTCTGCAGCTTGGAGGCTGTGCTTCTCCATCAAGGTCATCACAGGAGGTTGTAAGAAGAGCACCCCATAGTGGGACAAAGCTGGGACTGACACCATGTGGCACCCTTACTAGAACCTCTGCATATAGAAGCAAGTCAGCACTTTCAATGTAACCACCACTTAAGGAAAATTCAAACCCTTGGTGTGTTCATTAGCATCAGCTGAGGTGCTTTGTGCTGTGTTGGCCTCAGCCCCAAAGCAAACAGGTGCATTTAGTCAATTATTTGCAGAAAAAAGAGACGAAACACAGCGTTGAGAAGCAAGGAGAAAACAGATGTGGCTGATGAACTGAGTTGCAAAAAGCCCTGAAGGAAAGACCTGTGCACAGCTCCATTGGAGAGCCAACTCCTGGAGGACTAAGAGCCCATCCTGAGAGATGGCCAAATTTCTATTATGAGAGAAACAATGGCAGAACCACTTTAGGGAGAAGATTCAGAAAGCACAGACTTGCTTAAATGTCTGCCTGTCCCAGAGAGCTTACAGAAATCTAAACGTAACAGCATCTCCAGGGCAGCAGCTCAGGAGCACGAGGACACGGCTGCAGGAGCTTCTCCACTCCCACGCACACAGTGTCCGCTGCCCGTTTGCATCCCTATCACTAAAACACCACGGAAGACAACTGCGAGGCAAAAACCCCGTCTCCTTTTGATGCTACCACATACAAGAGACTCAAAAGGGAAGAGGAATTATGCAGCATGCTTTAGACCACAGGTGGCTGCTATTTCATCGTCTTACATCTCACCCTCCAGAGCCCCGCGTTCTTCTCTTGATTCAAAGCCTTTCATTATACGTATGACAAAGTAGCCCGACTGTCAAACAGGTGTTAACCTGATTTTTTCCCATTCAGCATATCAAAGGGGTTAAGTTCTTAGTTACTCTGTTTAATTAATTTCTGTCATTTTTTCATTGTGTTTGCAACCAGCTTCTGTTCCGTATCACAGCTACATAAATTATTCTGATCGACTCATTATTTGAATTCAGGAATCAGCTGTACCAATCTTGGCGTTGTCATGAGAGAGACAAGGATCCCATGTCTTGCTGTCACCACAATCTGTGCACCCTTTCTCATCTGCTTTCATCTTTCATGGTCTTAGAAGGAGCAAAAGAAAAAGCCAATGGACTTCATTTCAATCAAAAGCCGAGTGGTTTAGATATTTGAAATTAATAGACAAGGCATTAAAAGCAACAGATTTTGTACTGAGAGCTGCTGTGCTTTATAGGCAAATTGAAACGTGACGTGTTTTATTCCTCCACAGAGGAAAATTTGTATTACTGCCTGCTTTATATACAGGACCACACCGCGTCACTGATATCTGCTCCCTGCGCTCTGGCTATAGTCCTAGGCATGAAGTTTAAGTCAGTCATACGGCAATATATATCTAGCCGCTGTTTCATACTATAGCTCTCTTCATTTTCAAAGCAGAAATAAAGGACTATTGGAAGCGTCTATAACAATATCTTCTATACATACGCACATCCATTTATGCCGACACACAGCACGCTTTGGGTGGCATTTTGCCTATTTCTTACAGGCAGCCTTCTGGGAACTCAGTGTCGGGTGAATGACAAATGCTTATAAATGAAACGTGACGCCTGTCTACAAGAAAGGCCGGAAGGAGGATCCTGGGAACTACAGGCCTGTCAGCCTGACCTCCGTACCAGGGAAGATCATAGGGCGGTGGGTCTTGAGAGTGCTCACAGCATGTGCAGGAC